TTTAGTTTAAAAGATGTGGGCCACTGAGAAGGGGTCACGGTCCAGAGGACCCCGTCACCTAAGAAAGATGTCAGCTGAGAGGACCGACTAGGGTCCGAGGGACCTGGTTCGGCTCCCAGCAAAATGCTGAGTTTGGGTCTGGGATAGAGCACGAGGAAGCCTCTGCGGGGTGCGGTTGTGCCAACTCTGGGAGATCGAGTGAAATCCTCATCAAAGCACGCTGGAATCTGAGGTTAGAACTCGCTGCATCAGACAGCCTAGGAGGATCTGAGGTTAATCGCTCACTCAAGAGAGAGAACAGCAGTGGGAAGACGAAGCGCGGTCTAACAATGGTGAACTCCATTTGTCTCAAGCAGAGAGTCTGGCTGCCACGTCCTGCGTAGGTGGTGCTGGCTGGAAGCCAGCGTGGACTGCCCCTGTACGAGGGCTGGTGCCATTGCAGGCTGAAGCGTCTGGCAGGGCTTCAAGCGAGAGGTGAGAGGGCAGGGGCAGGGAGAAGCTCTTGGGGCGGACAGTGGCCAGTGGTCATGCCTGCACGCTGTGCCCCTCCGATGAGGGCACAGTGGTGGGGCCTGGACTCCAGGCAACCGTAGGGGCGGCAGAGCGCACTGTGGTCCTCAAGCTGCAAGCGGCAAGGCGAAATGGTGTCTCCCAGGCGCTTGCAGGAGCATAGCAAGCTGGTCTACTGCATGAGAATGTCAGCGTGAGTCGTTGGAGAGCCAGCAGGGAGTGGCTACAGCACTCTGCCCCAGCAGCCAAGCCAGCCACCCCTCAGGCGTAACCCACCTCCCCTCCCAACAGGCTCTCTCAGAACCAGTGAGCAGTAACTCATGCACCCCCACAGTGCAGCCCAAGAGAACCTACTCTTGGGGGCCATGGTGAAGGCAGGCCTAGCACGCAGCTGTCTGTCCCTGTGCCAGAGAAGGCAGGGCGGAGACAGGAAGGGAAGAAGCGCTTGGTGTCCAGTCCCCATGAAACCTGTGCAGTTAAGAACCCAGGGATCAGAAGCAGAAACACCCCTGTGCAGGGCTAACAGCCGCACAAGCGCACAAGAGGGCAGCGAAGAATAGCTGAGACATCATAAGAACGCCCCCTGGACCATGGTCCCCAGGAGCCGGATTCAGAGAATGGGCGGGATGGGGCAAAAGCCCAAATCAAACACAAAACCACATCCTCTGTAATAAGGGTTCATATTGAATTTGTCGATGAGATTGCAGAAAGGTACGATGTAATATTGATGCTAGAAATGGCTCCGGTACTTGCTGTGAGTGGGTCACCACGAGCGAGAGCCAGATGGGAGCGTTCGCCAAGCAGTAGGCAGGCAAAGACACGGCCAACGCAAGAGGAAGCACACTGGTGAACGCCTCTCCCGTGGCAGTGGTGCTCCCTGTTCGTGCCTGGGTATTAAACAGGAGAGGCGAGAGGAGGAGGGCGAGAGAGCGGGAAGACCGCAAACGAGTTTCATTGTAGGTCACAGGTTATTTTAAAAGATAAAGCAAGTCATTATAAAGCAGCGATAAATAATAAAGAGTCCTGAGCGAGAAAGGTACCGGGGGCGAACAGCTGGGCTCCCTGAGATATGAGGGCAAGCAGTCTGCACAAAGGACCCATAAAGCCAAAGACCAGGAGTGGACTATCCGAACTTCCGGTACGGGCACGCACATGGACACCTGGTGTTGGGCGGACGTCGGAGAGGGTTGCGTGAAACTGAAGCCAGGGCGCCACCGCTGCGAAAAATCCACAGGTTCGATACGCCTGAAATGGGGCTTACATCTTCAAGGCACTTCCAGCCTTGCCCCTGCCACGCCAGCCCCTGAACAAACAGCAAAGGCCTTTCGAGATTGGAAAAGACCAAAACCCCTCGAGAAACTACAGCTCCATAAATACGTGGTTCCAGGCTGCAAGACTTAGAGAAGAGTTGCTGGACAAGAGGCGACCTGAAATGGTTGCTGGAGGTTTTTATAAAAAGAGAAAGTGGGCCAGGCCCACACTGAACTGAAGCACTCTGGAGCTGGAGGGGAGCGAGTCGGGTTTGAGTCAGGAGTTCGAGACCAGCGAGCCGAGCGAGTCGCCATCTTCTAGTAAAAAATAGAAAGAATTAATCTGACAACTAAAAGATACACTATAGAAAAAAAAATTATTCGGCAGGGTGCCACATGCCTGTATCGCCAGCTACGTCGGAGGCTGAGGCAGAAGATCGCTCTGAGCCTGAGAGTTCAGAATGCCCCAAGCATTCTAGCCTGGGCCGAATAGAGTGCGACTCTGTCTCAAAAAAAAAAAAAAAAGAGGAGAGAGAAAGTGACACAAGGAGAGAAGCCTGGTGCTGTCAGCTTTTAGGCGCTGTTGCCACAAGTGTAAGAATGCATTTCTGCTCGCTAGAGTATTTATACAGAAGTCAGATGACAGAGCGGGCTGAGCTCCTCGAATGAGGAATCTGCACCGCACGAAATGCAGCCTCCAGGCTCAGTTTCACAGGCAGCCAGAAGTCAAGGAGGACCAAGGGAGTCCGAGG